CCCAGACGCTATACTTTTTGATAGCCGGGCACCATCAGCTTTCTTCATCACATTTGCTTATGCACCCATTTGTCTTCAGTGATCCGTTCGACACCCTCCTCTAATTCTTAAAGGCTTCCTCCCACCACCACCCCACTATCATGATCCCAATCCTACCTTACAAATCCGGCTAGACCAGAGGATGTACACTGGTACAGATAGGAACCGGAAACACAGGGAATTCAGGACAGATGATCCCTTCAGGACCAGTGGTGCTACCAGAGGGTGGAGGGAAGGTGGGGTAGAAAGGGGGAACTGATTATAAGGATCTACATATAACCTCCTCTCTGGGGGACAGACAACAGAAAAGTAGGTGAAGGGAGACATCGGATGGTGTAAGACATGACAAATAATAATAATTTATAAATTATCAAGGGTTCATAAGGGAGGGGGGAGCAGGGAGTGAAGGGGAAAAATGAGGAGCTCATACCAAGGGCTTAAGTGGAGAGCAAATATTTTGAGAGTGATGGGGGCAACGAATGTACAAATGTGCTTGACACAATGGATGTATGTATGGATTGTGGTGAGAGTTGTATGAGCCCCAATAAAAAAATTTTTTTAAGTATATATACACATTATAATGCAAAAAAAATCGAACCCTAAACCTTGTCACTGAGTGAATTCCAACTCATAGGGACCCAACAGGACAGGGTAAAACTGCCCCTGTGGGTTTCAAAGATGATAGCTCTTTACAGGACCATAAAGCCTCATGTTTCTCCCAAAGAACTGTTGGTGGTTTTGAACTGCTGACTTTGCAGTTGGCATTCCAAAGGGTAAACCACTATGCCACCAGGGCTCCTATAAAAAAATGCCAAGTCAATAAAATCCTACTCAAACAAGTGAAGCCTGAAAAGAATACATGCTTGGGAGTTAAAAGTGTCCAAGTTGGGGGAGGGGTGTATTTAAAACATCCATGTAGAGAATAAAAGTCAAATCAATTATCTGACCACAAAGTTTTATACACTGCTGTGTAGTTTAACCAGAATTCTATTAACAGCATGTTGGCAGGTAACTTACCCTTGCAGGAATAATAAGGGATCATTTTCAAATTTCCATTCTTCCCCCAACAACAGCTCCCATTTATTTCCATAGAAACCACTGCCAATCGAGACCAAGGCCCTAGAACCAGACCTGATCCATGACACCCAATTACTGGAGTATCAACCAGTCATCAACTTAACGTTTTACTGGGAAATAACTTCCAACAAGGCACTGTATGATTCCAAGTCCACCAACCTCTGCCAGAAAACCAGACGGATGTGCAAGGAAGAGGCATAAGAAATAATCAGTTAAATCCTAGCCAGCACATGAAACAAACAGAATGAATGCCACATCCTCCTTGCAGCATCCTCCTAAAAGCCTAACTTCCTTTTACTGTGGTTTACATTACAAATGTTCTCAATTCTAAATAGCAACCTTACAAAGTAGATTCACAAGGACTCCAATTCCTGTGGTGAAGATTACCTATGACAACATTTGGGGAACCAGGAACCCTGATCTGCTGTGCAATTGTTAACGCTTCAAGTCAATTCTCATGTGACAAGTACAAAATGTAAATCTACCCAATATACTAAGTAAACACACTTTTCACTGAAATTCTACGAAAATAAACACATGTACTCCAGACCCCATTCACTCTCCTGAATCTAGAAATGAACTTTAAATATTGACAACTCATTTGAAGAAGATTGACTGGAAGAGAAAAAATGGTTCACCACAAGGTAGGTCATTAATAATAACTCAAGGACTCATTCTCATTGAGTCAATTCTGACTTACAGCAACCCTATAGGACAGGGATGACTTGCCCCTGTGGGTTTACAATAGTACAACTCTTTATGGGAGTAAAGAGCCTCATTTTTTCTCGCATGGGGCGGTTGGTGACTTTGAACTGCTGACCTTGTGTTTTGCAGCCCAACACGTAATCCATTATGCTGTATATTATAGGCTGTCATTAATAAGCTGCATAGTATAACTCACTTTTGGTACAGCCTCCAAAAATGTTCCCAATGTGAACAAGAAGCAAGGGATAGGGACAGACTGTGCAACCAATCTGGTCCTCAAGCCACTGACTACTACACATGGGCACTGATGGTCTTCACTGGTGATCAGGGCTGCCCTATCCAAACTCCTGCCAAAAGCAGACTACTCCAAAGTCAGAGAAAGTGCACAAGTTCACTATTCTCCCTCCTGTAAGTCTGAATAGCAAAAGAGCTGCAGACAGTGTTAATTTAACTATTGGTCCAGTGCCTTGCAGACCAAGTCCCTTTTTTTTTTTTCCACATATACTTAGGGATATGCTCAAGAATGTCTTTCAGAAATTATTACAGATAGTATTCTATGTTATAGACAGCGTGCTGGTATACAGAGTGTATTACAGATAGCACGATAAAAGTCAAAAACTTTCAACACTGTTGATTCCAAAAATCTATTTCCAGGAATCCAATAGGAAATCTTTTATAAATTAGAAATATTTCAAATTTCAGCCCCCTGTGGAAACTGTAACTTTCAAACATGTGAAGAAATGAGCGATCCACCCAGTTTGCTCCAAGTACTTATGGCAAGTACTAGAAATATTAATATCATAGAGTACTGATAAGCACTGTTAATGCCAGCTAAGAATTATTTCTTACACCTCCCATTTTTGCCTTTGCAATCATTTCCCTAAACCTTTCTGTGGTTAGTCTAAAAAGGAAATTTAATTCTATAACACCGAAACAAACTTAATTCACAAATATCTTAATATAGACCAAATGCCTTCCTTACTATAGGCAAAAATAGGTATCACCTAGAAATCATGGCTCCAACGAAGCCATGCTGTGGCCTGATGCCAAAAAGAGTCCCCACCCTAAAATCCACGCTTCGTTAATTAAAAGGTTTAGATATGGCTGAGCACTACTGGTTCGAGAATGAAAAATTTCTACACTGGAGAATGCCGAAGGCTGAGTTTTGTATACTCCACATTACATTTCGCTCCTTTTTCTAAATCTCTCCAAGCCTTATAACTTCGAAATCACCAACTATATCCTTCCAAATCTGATTCTGGGGACATAAGGAATTGTACTGTCTGTCTTTACATTATCATCTTTGCAATGTCCAGATCTGATTCAGAATGGGAAAGTTTGCCATACTGATTTACAGATGGTCATTTAAAATGGAAAAAAAAAGATGCTCCAAATTGTGGAATAAGTATAGAAATTAAAGACATTTGCAGGTGTTCTCTTACAGGGGAAATAGGAGGGAAGTGGGGATGGGATGAATGTTGTGTTAGACAGGGTTCTCTAGAGATAAAACCAGCACAATAAACTATCTCAAATGTGAATCTACAAATTAAAACTTACTAATCCGTGATATACTAGTCTTGAAAAAAAAAAACGGTTTCAAGGTCCCATATGTTTAAGAAATAATTGCTCTTCAAGAGTGAATAAATTTCTAGACCAGACATTGCGAGCAAACTGAGCTTCCAGCCCAATAAGCAAGGGAAGCTTTAATATGGGTTGCACTTTTATCTTTCAACGAGTGCACATCTGTCATTCTTGTATTAGGTTGATAACTTTCCATCAGGGAAAATGGTCCCTTTTCCATGCCTGCAAACTCTAAACTAACATAGTTAGACATTTCTGTAGATTCCAATGAACTGAGCGTCGGGAAGGCATTAGTGATGTTTGGGGCACTGGAGACACACAAAGCGTCGTCACAGATGGACATGAGTGGGAGGAAGATGAGGCTGTCTGAGATTTACAGTCTCAGAAACACTAGAGTCACTATGAGTTGAAATTCCTCGAAGGCATTGGATTGGGGGTTTTGTTTTGTCCCCCTTTGTTTTGTCCTCCTTTGAGGGGGTGGGGACCAACAGAGAAGGGGCAGGCATTTCCCCAAAAGCTGCTAGCAGCGGGGCGGCGCGCCCAGTTTGGAGACACTTACTGGTTTGCTAGGGTACACGTTAGACAGGTGCGTTTTCAGTTTCCCCACCGTCCAGTTCAAGAAGCAGCTGATAGTCTGGTCACTGTATTTCTGATTCGGTGCTTTAATGATGAGCGTCACAGGAATCTCCATCCCACTTTGGTCCATGGTGCCCCCAAAGTCGGGCAGTCAAGAGAAGCAGCAGTTAAACAAGCCCAAGTGAGCCGAGGTGGTAACTGCCCACTGGACTGGGAAAGGAGATGGCAACGAGTTCTTAGTATTGCGTGTCCGAGACGGTCACAAGCGCATCCGGCAAGACGACGACCATGGCCGGTACCCGGGCTGGACAGAGGCGGCGGCGGCGGCGGCGGGGTCTGGGGGCCGGGCCCTGGGTGCCGACTTGCCCCGCCAGGTTCGGGCTCCGCCTGACTGCTGACTGCGGTGGGAGGCGAGGGGGCGAGCGAGCGAGCGACGAGAAGAGGGGGCAGGGCAAAGACGCTACTGCCCAGGGCACCACCCTGCCCCGCCGCGGCCCCCGAGCTGAAACGCAACAAGGCCCCTACGCGACGAGCCCGCCGCGCCGGCCAGCGAAGGGACCGGGCCGCCAGCCAGAGGACGAGTACCTGACCGGAGGCCGCAGGGCCAGCCGCCGCCCTCCGAGCCCAGC